GAAGAAGTCGAAAAGTGACAAGGACAACGACGGACAATCACTCATATGATAAGCTCCGCTCAACAAAGTCGACAGCAGAGCTAAAAACAAATTTACACACGTTATGTCAGATCTTGTACCAAATTTGAACAAAATCAGTGAAAGCATGTCTGAATCAAAGAAAGATTAGAAAGAGCTCCTGTGTGCAGGGAAGTATTGTAGGTACATGAATCAGAAATGGAGTACATTTAAAATTTGCTTCAGAATTCAGAATTCCAAATTCCAAATCAGAAGCCTAGTACACACAGTTTTGAAATATTATTAAAGCGATGGAATACAATTGATTGTAATGATCTCGTTTGTTATCTGTGATTTATCTTAGAACACTTATGCAGCACGTTTATTTAAATCTGATAAATGTTAAATGATAATCTGAAATCAAAAAATTGCCTAATTTATGCAAATTTAGATAATTAACATGCATGTTTTTTCAACCCCAAACTTATTCACATCAGTGATTACTTCTATTGAAATGTGAAAGTAATGAGATATCAGTGAACAACTAAAAATTGGCTAATTTATGTAAAGTGCCTGCAATAGTGTTTGAGATCACATGACAATATATTGTCATCGGATTGGTTAGCCATGTTTCTTGTCCAATGCCATCAATATAGCACAGGCTATATCTGCAATAGTATTTGTTGACTATTTGAGCCTATAATACAATTCATATGCAAATTTAATCAAATTAGATAATTGTTATCCACAGATTGCAAAGATCAAAAAACAAACGATATGTATGTCATTATGACTTGTCATTGAACAAAATCGGGTGAAGCAAGTTCAAGAAATTACATCAGACGCATGGACTGATGGATGGACAGACAGAACGAAAAACTCAAACAATGACAGATGCGGGCCACTATTGTCTAAAGTCGTTGTGGGCAGGAGAGCATTCTGTCTAAAATCAACAAAGATGCTACCAGTGTTTATTTGGAGATTATCAACAATAATAATTATGTAAAGAAAACAAGATAGGAATTTGAGTTATTTACTTTATTTATTTATTTACTTATTGACTCTTACACAATCCCCGGAGGGAAAGAAAATGGTCACAAAGTACAAGGAGAAATATATATATAAAAAAACAAAACAAAAAACACAATATACTAAATAACAAATACAATCACTAAATTACTAAATAATACAAA